CGCCCCCCGCCTGCCGGCATGCTCGCGGGAACCCGGGCATGGTCCCGCTCCCCGCCCCCCCCCCCCCCCCCCCCCCCAGGTGGCCATGGAGGGGTTTCTTCCGGGCGCGTTCTCATTTTTAGCGCGCCCCTCCCCCCCCTACCCCCGTGGGATTGCCCCCCCTCCCGCTGTGACTCTTGATTGCCTCTCCCTGTCAAGGTTCCTCCCTCCCCCTCTCCTCTTCTCGCTCCCGATCGCCCCTCCCCCCTCCCCCGCTTCGCCCGCCCATGTGCCTCGCCTCTTCGTGTCTCGCCCGCGTCATGTTCCTGGCGCCAGTTGCCCCCACCGGTCTGTGCCCTATGGACCCACTATGTCAAGGGCTGCTCCGGGTCCCGGCCCTGCGTCCCCCCTTGCCTGCGGCTCTTCCGCCTCCTCTGCCCCTCGCCCGCCCGCCCCCCCCCCCTCTCGCGCTGTGTTTGACGTCGCGACCTGCCCGGCCTGGCGACATCACCACGCGGTGGCCTCCCCTCCCTCCCTCCCCCCTCGTCTGCCGCCTGTCCTTCTCTTGCATGGGGCCTCCCCCGCCGATTGCCGCCATTGCTAACGCCTTCCCCCTATGCTCTCACCCGCCCGGAGCAGACCCTTCCTCAGCCCCCTCCCCCTGTCATCATGTCCAACCCCCACTACGACAACGACTACGACAGTGACGGTTCGTGTGGCTCTAATCTGGCTACTCCCCTCTCCGCTCCCCTCCCGCTGACCATGTTCCCGCGCCCCTCGCGCATGCATCCCCCTCCCCTGGACGCCTATGCATCACGCGCACACGCGCACACGCGCACACCAACACAGTGGCCGTTCACTCTGACTCCGAGCAGTCCAAGGTCCCCACCAGCGTCGGCATTGATCCGTCGGTCCTCTCGTTCATTACCCACTTCTACAATGCCTACCGCTCGAACAACAACCCGGAGCTGCAGCGCTGTTACACCATGAAGTTCAGCGCCCTCTCCAAGCGTCACTTTGCCAAGAGCACCTGGCCCGCCGCCGAGGAGATCGCCAGCCTCGTCAACAACGGTGCGCCCCGGCCCGCCGCTGCTTCCCCCCCTCTCTCTCTCTCTCCCCCCCCCCCCGGCCCTTGCGCACCCCCCTGCCCTTTCCTAACCGGCCCGCGTGCTTCCTGCCTGCCAGACGAGTTCTTCCTGATCCTCTACAAGGAGCTCTACTTCCGCCACATCTATGCCAACTCCCAGCCCACCCTGGAGCAGAGCATCGGCTCCTACGACAACTACGTCAACCTTTTCAACTTCATCACTCGTGCGTCGCCGGCCCTCGGGCAGCTCGGGCAGCTCGGGCATCTGGCTCTGGCTCCCTACGCGCCCCCCCCCCCCCGCCCCTTCTGTCTCTGTCTCTCTCCCCCTCCCTCCCCCGTGCCGGCCCTCACACGCTCCATTCACACCGCTCCCCACCGCTGTCACCCACCTGGTCTTTCCCCTATGCAGAGGCCGAGACCCCGATCACCACTGATATCCCCATCCAGTGGCTGTGGGACATGGTCGATGAGCTGATCTACCAGTTCGGCAAGTATGTCGCCTACCGCCGCAGCCCGACCAAGCCCATCCCCGCGGCCGACGTCGAGCGCATCCACGCCAACCCCCACGTTTGGGACGTCAAGATCATCATCTCCCTCTTCCAGTACCTGGTTCAGCAGTCGAACATCAACGAGATCCTGATCGCCGCCAGCAACGACCAGGACGAGTCGTGCGTCCCCTCCTGCCCCGGCTCTTGGTTTTACCCGCGCGCCCCCTCCCCTCCCCTTCCCCCCGCATCTGGTCCTTGCCTTCGTGCCCTTCTCACCATCCCCCCCCCCCCTCGCCCCTTTGCCCCTTTCCTCGGTTGTTTCGCCCGCAGCGAGGTCGCCGGCGAGTTCGGCTCCATCCTCCTCTACCGCAACCTCGGCTACTTCTCGCTCATCGGCCTGCTCCGCATCAACTGCCTGCTTGGTGACTTCCACTACGCCCTGGAGATGGTCAAGAACATCCAGTTCAGCAAGACTGCCTTCTACAACCGGATCATCCCCTGCCGCGTGTCGCTCTTCTACCATGTGGGCTTCTGCCAGGTCATGCTGCGCCGCTACAGCGAGGCCGCTTCCACCTTCACCGACATCCTCTTTTTCATCACCAAGGCCGACCTCCAGCACATGCCCCACTACCTGCAGGATGCCATCCACAAGAACTCCGCCCAGATGGTCACCCTGCTTGCCATCTGCGTGACCCTCTGCCCGCCGCGCTATGCCCTGGACGAGGCCATCGCCAAGGACCTGTCCAAGCACCAGGACAAGAACCTGCAGCTTGCTGCCCAGGGGTGCGCCGCGCTCTGAGCTCCTCATTTTCCCCTCCCTCCCTCCCTCCCTCTCTCCTGGGCCCGCCCTTCCTCTCGGTGCCGACCAGCGCCACTG